TACTGGATTCAGGTTTTCAACATCTATACACTACCTGTAGTTCGCATTTTTTGCCATTATGTTGCAGTATATCATTTTCACGGAGATGATACCCAGATTTATCTATGCCTCAGTAACGAACCATTCGGCAACAACAGAACTACTATCTGACTGATGTTAACAATTGAATAGCTCAGGACTTTGTGAAGATAATGCAAATAAGACAAGTAGCAGTATTTGGGTCTCTTTCATATGCATTTATTTTCTCCTGTCCCTAACGTGGATAGATTCTGTGTTACTTGCTTGATTTAAGGAAAAAAATTACCCCTAGTGAGAAATATGTTTGGCTAATTGTATATGGGTACCTAATGAAGTATCTAAACTGTAGATTTTCCATATAGGGAATTCTGTTCAACACAATTTATCTTAGTTTGTCTGATTTTCAGTCAAAAGAATAGGATGAGTTAAACCTATTATTTGCCAGGATGATACATTAATCTAAAGCAATGAGCTGAATCATCATACGACATAATGAAAACAGAGATGGCTGGGTAAAACGTCACCACTGATGAAGACCCAGCAGAAATTGATTGCTAGCATAAAAATAACATGCGAGTCATTGCACAAGTATCTAGGTAACAATTCAGTATATTTGCACAACATTCTTCAACAATCCCTCCTCACTTATATTTCCAATAAGCTGATATCAATTTCACTGGCATAATGAGAATAAACAAAATAAATCAAGTGAATGAAGTCTAGAGTGATCTTTGCCTCTTTTGGGTAAGATGCATTTAGACAGAGTATCAACTGTTAAGTTTGTTTATACTAGAAATTGAGATGTATGCTTTAAGTAGCATTGTTTAAGCTAAATCAATCTCTTATTTCTGAAGGAAAGTCAGTTTTCTCCTCTAAAAGCAAAGCAAATACAGCATGCGTTTATAGAAGAGCTGACTGAGAGAATAAAGGAAGTGCTTTTCCCTAATACTCAAAAATGAGGACAATTTCTTTGAGATACAGATGCAATATAAGCCAAGAAAAAGATGCAGCCCAAGTTTCCCGAACATCCAACAGGCTACAGAAAAAGTACTGCTAATATCAAACAGGTGAGGAAAGTGCAACAGAATGAAAGGCACTTCCAGGACTTAGAAGACAAGATAGTATTAAGTCAGCAATCCTGGGGTTTGGGGAGGGGGGGTTGAAGGTACCCTGCCACAATGGGACATCCCTTAGAATCCACAGACGTACAGGTTTTGCAACGGCTTTGAAGAGAGAACACAGCATTTTGTATATAAAGACTAAGCAGAGAGTACTTCATTAAAAGAAGCAGTGCGACTCTGATACATATGTGAGTTCTGAGATAACAGAACTTTATGCCTAGCTAAAATGGGAGAAAGGAGAATAGCTGAAACAGCTGCTAATCCACCACTTAGATTAGATAGTTTGCATCCTGCAGTCCTAAGGCAGATATTTCTTCCCTTCAGCAAACAGTCACTTTTGGGGTAACTCTGACATTTCTAATCTGGAGGCCTCAGGATTCTTAGAAACAGGAAAGTTATATTTCTCAACAGATTGCTGATAGATCCTTCTGGATTTCTCCTCCTGCAACAGTAGTAGTCTTTAAGATCTCCTTTTTTAGAGGAAGTTATCATATTCATCCACACCGTTCCCAATCTCCAAAGCAACCATCAGAAATTCCTATTTAAATTTTGAAGGGTTATAAAGTCAAGGGTTTAGGCTGCATAAGGTTAGTGGGGCAACTACAGAAATAACATTTTAATAACAGCTGACAGTGAGTATATAAGACAAGCAAAAATATGGAGCACAGAATTCAGTTCCTCAGCTAATTACATCTGAATGAAGATGGACACTTTCCCTCTCTCCTTCACCTGCTGACTGAAAATTGATGCCTCATTACCAACTCTGATACCTCTGATTACCACCACTGAGCCTGTAAACTATTAACTGCTGCAAGAAGGTATCTACAACAATAAAGAAAGTCAAAGCATCCCATCTTAAGAGGTGTTCAAACTGGTGCTTTGGTAGAGGAAATGCTCCATTTACAGAGCTCAAGTTGCACAAATCTGATGCAGTGCATAAAGGAACAGCAACAGAATGTAACATATTTGTACACTGAAAAAACCCTAGTCAGATACTCTGAGATTTTTGGGTGCATCTTTGTTTTCTGCTTCATCAAATTCAGCACTGTGAATGACCATTTTCATGCTTAAATTTTAGCTCTTACTCTGTCAAATCCTTCTGAATTAGGCTTCTTGGAAACATCACAAGGTTCATTTAATATATTCTATCCAGAACAGAAGTGTCCTGTGGCATTATCCATCCAAAGGCACTCCAAAGCATGAGCCCTCCTTCTACACAGAGTAGAAGAATTGACGTTGTCTGGAGCCCACTAAAAAACTAGCATACAGTTTCTTCTAGTTAACAGAAAGTATAAAAAAAAGAAATAAACACTTTGTAAAATAAAGAAAAGAATGGTAGACCAAACCTTCCAACTCGGAGTTGTGTAATGCCTAACCTTGGAGATATTTGGCCTTGACTGGGAGGCTCTACGCAACATGATCTGAGTGGGCCTTACATTGTGTGGTGGCTTGGGCCAAACAGCCTGCAGATCCCATAACCGTTCAACCTAAGTTATTGTATGATTCTATATGCCATTAAGTAAAGGTGAACCACAGAGTTCAACAGCTCCTTTATATGGCTAAATACAGCTTCCAAAGTCTGAGAAAATACTTTAAGAGAAAGCACCGTATGCTGTGTTTGAGAATAAGGGCTTCAATGTTCTGCTTACAGAGGACCACATAAGAGAGAGGGGAAGGTGGTGGGGGGAAGCTGGAGACCAGAGGTGGTCTTATGCTAATAAAGCACAAACAAATTTCAAGCCATTTTATGGTCCCATAAAGCATCCCCTAAAATATCAGCTACTAAACCCCGTAGAACCCTCAGATTTTACGGCAGGGATGATCACAAACTTCACCTTGCTGAAAACAGCAGCACAAATTTCTAGCTTTGAGAAAGGAAGAGCACCCATAAATAGAAGCAGAGATATGAAAGAGCTGGATTTCAGAGCGATAAATGCCAAACGAGATGCTCCTCCTGCACCAAAGCGTTCCCCTAAATCGTGAGCTGCTTGCTTCCAATGCAGTTTTAGACAACTCCCTGCCAGTTAAGTGTTATTCTTTAAAGGGATTAGGAACAGATCCTTCTTCACTGCTTAGACAGAGCAATAGAAAAAAAGCAGTAAAAGGTCAGCCACTTTACCTCTTGCATCACAAGAAATCAAAAGATGGGTCTCATGTTTTGGGCAAATGAAGAGAGAATGGCTGCAGCACTGAATTCCGTGTAGTTGTTGGGTACCTGCACCACAGGGCTGCTGAGGACCAAAGAAAAAGCTTCCTGCAGGCACTGGGCAACCAAACAAGAGGACTCTGAAGGTAACACCTAGCTATAAATTAAGAGACTTGCAGCTATAAATTAAGAGACTTGCTCTTATTATAGTGTCAAACCCATTTTGCTATAGATAGGTTCAGCTGTTTATTCAATATGCATGTGCATTTGTGAAAAGAGGTGTGCTAGTGTTTATAGATGAGTGGAGCCCATGAGTACTTCTGACTCATTTTATAATTCCTGTGCCTCCAGGGCAGTTCTTTTTTGAATATCAATATATGGGTTCATGAAGTAATTGCTGAATACTGATCAGATTATGATTATTTGTGCTGAAAATCTGCTTCTGTGTACATGCTTGCTTTGCTGTTGTTGTGAAGGCCTTAAACTCTTGACCATTGTTACGCAGTATGACAGCTGAGTGTGCCAGTAATGGAAAGAGTAAAGCAAACCTCATAGCATGCGTAGACAAACATGTCAATTGTTGAATTGTCTCCCTTCAACCATGACATCCAAAGCATGCAAAGCTTCAGAGAGATTTTAGAGCAAGCCATGCAAAAATTTAAAAAATTGACTTGTATTTTAATTATTGATTTCATTATTATAACCCATAAACACATCATCAGTCACCTATGCTTCCTTTGATCATTATTACTGATCGAACTCTTTAAGCTAGACAATATATATAATTAGACATAGCAAACACCCTGAATATGCATGTTCTTAACCTCTGAACTACATGTATCCAAGCATAAATATTTACCTTAGAATGTGTTGTTTAATTATGGCATGACCCTTTCAGGATCAAGCAACTCAGTTTAATCTACCAAAAACATCAGATAAATTTTACCAGAATGTATCTTTTTAGAATTTTCTACGAAAATATATGTTCACATTTTGTTTCTTTGTACGTAAAAAAAAGAAAAAAAAGCCTTCAGATTAAATTTGTTACATCACTGCTGTGCTGAAATACAGGAAGTGGTTTAGGCGCTACTGACCTTACATAATAAATTTGGAAAGGCCAGCTTCATTGTCACACCTATTTGTGACAATCACCTTGCTACTCTTATGTGAGAATTCTCCGCAGTGATTATAGTATGCTTCTACATACATCAGCCTATCAGAAAGAGTGATGATCACTGTATACTACTTTGGAAAGATGGAGGATGCTTAGGAGCCGTTTATATTCACTTATGATCTCTGTTCAGATATTTACAACTATGTCAGAGATCAAAATGACAAGTTATGTTTATATAGTTACAATCAATTTTATGTAGTATCTTCAAGTAAAGTGTCGTCAATATCCCTATCTTACTATAATGCGAGTCATAGAAATCTAACTACAATGTACTTGGTTTTATCTTTCTCCTAAAATTTCCCTAAATTTAAGCAACTTTAGGAAAATATAGCATGAATAGATGGTGACGGCTGATAAACAATGAAACCAGTCTGCACTTCGGAGCAATTATAAAATTGTAAAAAACCTCATCTGTTAAACCACAAGATCTAAAAATATCTTTCTCTGTCTTGAGAGAAGTAGTAAAAAGCCTAGTGAGGTAGATTATATCTGGGCTGCAAAACCATGCAATGTAAATTGAAGAGCGCAAGCAGAAACTCACCTCTACCTTTGTTCTTTGTAGCAGCCACTGGAAGCAAGGAAAAGATTGCACAAGAAGAAGAGAACAAAGATAGATTAGACAGAAGTTCTGAGTAAGTAAGAATACAGAGAAACTTCATCACTATCGATTCAAAGCTAACAAACACTATTCCTAGGATTATTTGACCAATTTATTTGAGATAGTACGGTTCTAGGAGATGGTTCAGATCTATGTTTCTGTCAGAAGACCTGTGTTTAGAATTCAGAAAGTATATCACAAAAAATACTTGAAAAGCATGGCAAGGAGTGCACAAAAATCATGTACCATTAACCACAAATAGGTGAGAACATAGGTATACACATTGATAAATTTTAAACTTATAACACAATTTGCCTTGCTGAAAGTTCATTCTGAAGTATCTAAATCACATGTCAATCCTTTGCTCCCATTTCTTGAAATGTTAATCTTTTGTACAGTTGATGCAAACACCAGTTAATCTGCAGCTACTCCAGCTATTTCCATTCTACACTATATGATCATTGCTTTTCTTCAGTGAAGCATATAGCTTCCAATGCTTCTTGCACCATTACTACGCATGCATCTACTGATGCTATCAGGCGTGCCAAGCAAAAGGAGCATGCAATATTTTAACAAGTAGTGATCGATATTCAAAATCAGATAAAAAGAGGACTTCATCTTTCAGACAAAATAGTTCCCCTTGTCTCCCCTGAAGCAGCATGGTTCCATGCTGTTAGTTTCAAAGGCACAGCATGGTCATAAAAACGAAGACAGGAGGGTAAAAAGTCCCTCTAACATCCTCCCTGCCTTTTTTTCCCCCCAAAAACAGAAGAATTTTCTGTTTTCTGAGATTCATAACTAATGCTGCTGATATACAGTATTAATCAGGGCCTGAAGTGAGAACGGGATCATTCTGTTAAGGGAACATTCTGTTAGCTCTAGATTGGACTACAGATACTGCTCCATAAGGGTCTTTAAACACACAAGTGCACTCTGAAAAGGCATTAATTCAAGAGTAGCTTTATGAAGAAAACACACCTCAGGGGAAAAAAAAAAAACGTAATTCTGTCTTGTACAGAAGAGCTGTAACTACTTTACAATTCAAAGGCAGCTACACTTGTGATCAAAATATGGAAAACAAGGAGAAAGATCAAATCCCATTTCTGCTTTCCTTGCTTTTCTTGTTCACACATGAAGGCTCTAAGTACCTATTTCTTCTTCCTTTTTTACTGGTCAGATATCTCACCAGTCTGAGGTAAGTAAATAGAGTATGTCAGCAAAGGCCAAGCTGCTATATAGGTAGAAACTGAAAAAACCCAATTTAAAGTTTTAACTGTGTGAATGCATCCAAGAAATGACAATTCTCCAGATTTTGTTATTTTCTCCCTCATCCCTTCCTCTACTTCTGGCTGCACCAATATATGTTGCCACCATTCTCCTGGCAGTGGAAACAAAACTCAAGAAAAGAGCAGTCCCAGGACGTCTGAAATCAGCGCTACTCATGGAACAGCTCTGCTTTGGGGAGATACAACAAATGCAGACGTTTCTGCGAGCTGTGGTCTTAAAATCAGCTTTCCACAAAGCTGTTCAACAAGATATACGCAGCTGCAAAACATTCAGTAAATCTTACATGCTCTAAAAATTGCCTGAGTAGTAAACAAAATTAATGGTGCCATTCTAATTTTTTAATAAGTGAACAGTTTCTCCTTCATGCAAATATAAGTTGATAATGAATGCATCAAGCTCATCAACCTGTTCATTTTCTTATGCTTCCCCCTCTTTTTCAGTCCTGAGAATTACATCCACGTGAACACATTATCACTTCAAGTCAGAATAATCATGTAAACTTAACAAAGCTTTGGAGAAAAGCCCCCCAGGTAGTTTAAAAGCAATAGGAGATTTATACTCATATTTAGTCTTTCAAAATAAGGAAATACTTACACACATATAGAGGTATATATAAATATTTATATATATAAAAGAATTCAACAACATTATTATTAGACAACTTTGTGTCAAGGCATGAGCACTAGAGAATTATTACCCACCAGATATCAGTAAATAAAGAAAAGACATAAGTGAGGTTGTACATTATAATTGGAAGTAGGACAGGTTACTAGGCTTGTTAGACCAATTATAATTCTCTGCATATTCAATAATAAAGGCCTAGGTGACAGTAATGTTCTTATAAATGTCATGTACAATACTTGTAAGTTTTTTCCATTGACAGCATGGTCCAATTACAAGTCAATCGGTAAAGTTCACACTGCACAACAGCCAAATTAGCTGAAAGTGCTCTTTCAAAATAGAGTTCTAGCTACTGAGGGGAACTGGAGCGGTTTCCATCTATGACTCATCTTTTCGACAACTATCATGGGGAAGAATTCTCTTTCTTTGTTGTCACTGAGGTTGGAATTTCTTTTTTCCAAAGGTGAAATACCTCTTCTCCAGTCCCTCTTTACTATCAGTTTTTCCTCGTCCCTCTGTGCAAGTTCCCTGCAATGATGCTCACTGCAGAAAGCAGTGTTTCTGATCTGAAGATACTATTTTTAAAAATTTCCAAACATTTTGGATATAGGTTATCCACCTGTTTTTCCTACTACGTGAAAGGTCATAGGAGACGACAAGCAAAGATAATTTTTTTCAAATGAACAACATCAACATCCAAAATTATCAGAGAGAGGCTAGTGTCTTAAACAGGGCACCGGATATGGAGGGACTACGTTTTTTATGCCACTTAAGTCAGTCGCAAAAGAGTGAGGGGTTTCAATAAACAACATTACAATCATAGTATCCATCTTTCTGACTGTCTTCAGTAAGTCAGCTGATTTCTCTGCACTTCATCTACCTGTTTGTAAAATGGGGATAAAATAAACTTTTGCCCCCCATCTTCACTTCCTTGTTGGTTAAGGACACAAGCTGTTCAAGACTATCTACTTCAGTGCACTGTGTTTTCAGGATACTGATTAAATTTGAAACTTCAGTAATGTAAGCAAGACGGATTTCAACAGGTCTGTAATAATTTCTAGGTAGAATGTAACCTGAAAACTGGAATTTAATGTATTTGGCTGGCATTTTCTTTGTTTGGATAAATTAACAGGCCAATTGGGAAAGGGACAAAAAGGAAAGGCAATGACTTCCTGTATTGCCCCAAGATCATGGCATTCTTTAGAAACCTAACACATTGCAAAGACATTTTCTTTGAGCTATTCTGCCTTGTCTTTCTTAGGAAATTGATTACTTTTGGAGGAGGTGGCAAACTGGAGAAGAAAAAAAAAAAGCAGCAATGACCTTTCTTGGAATTTAAAGACGATCTTAAGACCAGAGAAGAAGGGGGAAGAAAGACCATATCCTCTGAAGTGCCTCTGAGGTACAAAAGACCTGGATATCTCTGGGTAAGATTGAGTGGAAAAAAAACCTGTTATATTAAGCTTTGGTTCTATTAAGATTAAACAATATTTTATTTTCTGAAGGCTTTTCTCATCACACTACAAGCAAAACAAAGGGGAAAGGTCTCAGAGAGAGAGAATCAGAGGAGAACAGAGGCTCAAGGTCAGAGACCTCAGGAGAGTTCCCGCTAAGAGAAAAAGGAGGGGGATAAAATTTGTGCCAAGCTGTGAATCATGACATTTAATTTTCACAGAACTCAGGTTTTTATTTTTAGGGTTTTTTTTAAATGAGAAAAGCATTTCTGCTGTTCCCCCTGAAACAATATTTTTAAAAATCACTGTCTGTATGTAAAAGGCTGGATTCAAATTTTGAAAACCCTAACATACCCATGCTCTCAAATATCAATGATATATTATATTTTATTTTTCCATGATGCATCTTTCTGACTTTTTGATTTTTGTATGCCAGCAATTGTTAAATTACATTCTTTGATAAATGGTGGTTACAAGATGCTCAATATTTTTTCCACACTCAGCTGTCTCTATGCTGTTCATTTTTTGCAGACATTTTAAGACAGATTTGATGCAGCATTTATTTTATTTTTTTCTTACAAGTGATTTATTATTCAATTTCGGATTTTGTCTTTTGTTTGGGGGAAAAAAAAGTCCTTGCAATTACTTCAATAGCACAATAAAAAAGGAAAAAAGTATTTCCCCCAGATGCCTAGTCTACCTAACATTGTAAAAAATGAAGGGAAAAGAAATAAGTGAGAGGCTCGAGATCAGTGTCTTTTTCTCATTTTGTCTCCCTACATATTAAGAACTCAGCTAACTACAGGAAAAAATGATACAATATCTAAGTGTTATAATAATGAGATAGCTTTTTTCAAGAAAAGAAGCAAGACAAAAATCACCATCATAAAGTACATTGGCTTTCTCCTGCATAGAGCACACTGGCATATTATACAAGGATTTATGGTCCTAAACCTACCGTTTCAGCAAATGTGGAAGTCCTCACATCTCCAAAGGAGAATAGAGGTATGAACGGTCCATACAATAGACATTTATTCATTTGCATATTTATCCCAGTCTTAAAACCTTATGAGATCAAGGGATATAAAAAATAAGTAGTGTTCACATACAAAGTAGTACTCAATAAGAAGTATTCATTTAAAAAAATCGTATATTGCAGATTTCCAAATTTCAAAAGAAAAGTAGATAATTTTCACACAACTTGGCATAATACTTCCTTTTAACTTTATTAATTTCTCCTTTGATGCTGATGGGTTGTCAAAGCTCCCCTGTGGGGCAGAAGTTTTTAGCAGAATCATTTCATCAACAACTGTTAGGATTTCATAAATGGAGCAAGAGATTCAGTTAGAGCAGATACACCAGTATGTGCTGTACCGCAGCATGCCGGACAGCCTCCTTTGCAACAACAGCATTTTCCAAAATCCACAAAATGAGACAGGAACCACCACCACCGGGAATCCTGCTAGGGATTTTGGATTTCCTGCACAGAGGCAGACAATGTCAGTGAGGCTGGAAGAGCAGCCTACAGACCACAGAGAGCCAGGAAGCCTTAGGATTTCTTTCAGAGTAGGATTGAATGTTAAAAACAAAACCCACAAACAACAAATATGTTCTCATGGCTAACTTTGTTTACTACTGATTTTCTGAAGATTCTGGTCTCTCATGTGACTTCCTTCGTTGCTATTGTCTGTGCGTTCTATCGTCAATGTCTTTTTGTACGTGAATTCTGTATATTCCACACAGAGATTTCCAAAGTGTCAGTTAGCTGCATTTGTAGGTATAATCAGAACACATATATTCCTAGCCAGGTCTTTGTCTGCTATTTATATAACCATTAAAGATCTCTAGGTTCATGGAGATGTAATTCTATGTAATCTAAACACGTCACCTTCTATTATTTATTCCAAGTTTACATCATTTTGTCCACAACACAAGTTCCAAAGATGACAATAAGGTATTTATTTCATAAACAGAGAGATCTCACTTAACAAATTTATAGATGATTTTAGAAAAGCCAGGTAAGGACCATTTTGGCTCTCAGAAAGTAATGTATTTTTTCTCAGGGTTTAAGAGAAAATCTAGAAATGCACAAGTATGCAAAAAGTACAGGATTTTGAAATGACAAAAAAAAGGATTTGTTTAACTATAACATTAAACATGTAACAAAACCTCACAGTATAATATTGTATATATGCTACATAATAAGGATTATATACCTATATAGTGGTTGGTAAACTTCTTTCCTTTTAGAACATAAAGTCTGTTCTTGAAGCTATAATTGGGAAGGGGATAGAAATAACAGAAATGCAAATTTGGAAGTGTTCTTGAGAAGCCAACAAGTGTATCCTCTGGGTTTGAAGCAGCATGAACTGTGTCTGGATTATTCCTAACAGATTGCCTAACATATTGTTAAAACTTCTAATGACAGACTCCACAAGTTCCCCAGGTAATCTATTTGAGCGCACAGTTGTCCTCTTAATGGCAAATTGTTTTCCTGACATATAACCTGATCATCATTACAGACACTAAGCCCATTAATTAATCCTTCTCCTACCGTCAATGAGTATAAATAACAAAAGAATATAGATTTCTTTAATGCAACTGTTTGCATATTTGAAGACTTACTATTTCTCTTGAGTGATTAAACAATCAAGTTTTTCCATGCTTTCTTAATATATGGTTTCCAACTTCCTCTTAATTCTTCTTCCTTTTTGCCTGACTTTTCACCAGTTTGATCTAAAACCTGACAAGATATCTAGCTAAGGTGGAACTAGTAATTACTTACGATATCTTGCACCTAACTCTTCAGCTGGACACTCCAAAATAGCACTTTAGCTCTAAGGGAACAGCATCACGTTGTGTTGAGGCCCACCATGACCCTTTGGTTCCCCTCTCCAGATCGCTATACACCTAGCTATTGCCTATTTGGATTTCACATGTGTATTTTTTCCTTTCTGAATATAGGGCTTCACCCTTATTCTTCAGAAGATTTTATTGCTTTAAAGTTTTTTTTTTCTTCTATTTATTAAGGTAGTTTTGAATACTAACATAGTCCTCCAACTCCATGAATAAATGCTAACACAAGTGTTAATCTAAAAAGTACAAATTTCAAAGCTACATACTGTACCACATTATTTTTGTGTATTTGCTATTGTATTTAAAGAATAGAATAATTCTTGGTAACAGCAGCAGACTTTCACATCCAATACCAACAAGGTCATAAAGGACTTTGGTTGTATTCAGCATGTCTACATTCAGCCCATAATCAGCAAAAACAGTCAAATCAGCAATTCCGCTGTTTAAAAAGAAAAAAAAAAATCCATCTTAGCTAATATCCCTCCTACACACACTATAAAATGTGTAGGCAAGCTAGAAATAAAAAACTTCACAAGCTAATGTGCAGACACTAATGATAAAATGCTGTTATATACTACTGCATCTAGCAAACCTACGAACTACAAACTGACCACACACAAATGAAGCATTAGTTCATCACGCCATCCCTGTCAGTAATAGCTGACTCTTCTGTTATTAAATAACAAACAGAAAAATTAGAACAGTACCTGCTGGGAAATAATTGCACTGTGCCCTGCGAGAACGAACACTGGAGAAGCTGCTTTTAAAAATACCTTTCTGGACAGAACACAGCAACTGCAGAGATGCTATTAAGTTATATTTTCCTTGGTGAAACTTTGAAAAGCAATATGAAGAAAGAGCATAGGTTCCAGCATTTTGGTCCTCCACCCACTCTTTCACTCTCAAGTTCAATATCGGGTAACAAAAGAGTATTTTCTGGTGTTTAGAATCTTTCCTTTCCAACCCAAGAGAAAATAGGTTTGTAAAATAGTAATTACTGAACACAGATAACAAGAAGAAATTCTTAAATTGAAATGAAAGCGCTAAAATAACTGTAAGCATCTTTCAGACTTCCTATTATGCTGCTAAACACTATTTTAACACTGACACTAGATTATAATTTTCAGTGAACTTTATTATATCATACTAATCATAAAATAGTGAAGAACATGTGGCTCCATTTTCTTTCTGAGAATTAGACTACAAATACAGTGATTTTGTTCTCAATATTCATTATAACTGGCATGATGGAGATCAGCAGAAGCATCTTCTAGCACAAACATCACTAGAGTTCAGGATTCCAGCTGTAGCTGATTCACATTAGCAATCAGAAATACATAACAGTATATTACTGTGTAGCAAAACTTGAAGATAGTCTAATCATGCCCTGAAGGCTCCTCTTAAGGCATCCAGATAACATGATTTGCCTGTCTCAAAATGCCAACTTTATGCATTTTGTAATACAACTGGACATAAAACTTCCACAAGTAATGCAAGTTGCAAGCAAGCAATTTTATTGTAACAGTTAGGTTTTCATAAAACTTCAAGCAAATTTCACTTGCAAACAAATAATATGCATTGTAAACAATAGTAAATACAATTTTTATATTGGTAACAACAATATAATATCATATAATATCATGGTAACAACATTTTGCAAAATATGCTGAAAAACAGCTGAAGGAAGAAGCAGAGGAAGCAGAATGAAGCACTCTGTAAGGTCATAAATGTGATTATGTCAGATACACATTAAAGTATTCATTTCTGCCCTCTGATCATTTTCACAGTAATTTCAAAACTTAAACCAAATATTTAAAAAGCTTTGATATTCATTCAGCACCTCTAGTGTTCCATCAAAATTTGTCATTAGGCAAAATGTGCGTACATGCAGACTTGCACAGCTTCTGTGTTTATGTGAGGTCTCCAAAAAGAGCAGAAAGGAAGTGATCCTGCCTAGATACATTTAGCAAACTACTAAAGAACAAATTGGTTGTCATCAACTAACTGTGATTGGGCACAAGCAGCTGTATCTAGTTAGCTTTTCGTTCCCAGGACCATATGAAATTCAGCAAGAGATAGGCATATTGTGGCTACGAACAGATCATGTTTCTCCTTTCATCTGCAGATCAATGCATGCAAAACATCCCAAAATTATATCCTATCCATTTTGTTCAATCCAAGAGCAACCTCTGACGTTCATATTTCATGCTCTTTTTTTAAACGCATATGCTATCTTAAGTCACCAGTATTACAAGTATGCAGTTCTGAGTCTACTACACTTACATGTGTTATTTCAAGTTCAGATAACTCACAAATCTTTAAGAGTTCTCGTATTTGGAAATAAGCCATCAGTTAAGCAGCACGAGATCAGAAACATCATGATCAACGGCCAGAAACTAGACAGGCAGACAGACAGCTAGGGTTCTCCTTATGGTACCTGCACATATACAACTAATTCACCTGCTGCAAAGCCAAAAGAGGGTATGGGAAGGAAATTGGGTTTTATTGTACAGTTATTTTCCGTTTCATTTATTTAACACCATAACCTATGGGATATCTGTATAAAAAAAAAAAATTACATCCATAACAGATCATCTTTAAGATGAAGGCTGTAATTGTTCCAGATATGATGCTATTAATATATTGATCAGAGCTCCAATTTCCTTTGATCTGAGAACTAAAACCACTTCTATTCTTCATTTAATTATATTGCTACTGTACTGAAATTGTTGGTAAGAAAGACTCATCTAAGAGCTGATCTAAATTTACAGTAGCCATCAGTGGTCCTGGCTCTCTGTATCCCTTTCAAGTTACTACAAACAACAAAGTGGCTACAATGTTATTGGATAAAGCTGAAAGAATTGGCTGTCAGGAAATATGTAATCTGGTAGCTTTTGGCAGCTGGAAAAAATGGGAGCAATTTTTAACTCTGGGGACTAAGTTCATATGCTGAAAAGCTCTGCTTCAGTGATCACTCATTAACAGTAGAAAGCCAGATTGATACGTAAACTTTTTTCATCCGAGTTAGTTTCAAAAGGGGTGTCTCAGGCTTGCCGCCTACCAGGAGCATCCTTCCTTTTCATAGACGTAGCACTGATACGAGCTATCGATGTGGTTGTCATAGCTTTGTTCTGTACTGGGGTCCTGGGCTGCTTTTCATTATTTACCCTTTAGTCCCAGGCTTTAGATGCACATATTGGTCATACCCCCCAAAATAGATCATTTAACGCTCCACAAGCTGCCTGCAAGTGCTGTCTGCGAGTCATCAAAATAAGGAACCTTCCTAGCATGTTTGCCAGGGTGGTGGGCACACCCGCTCTGAGTATGGTCAGCACATGGGTCTGGCCACCAGGCACGCAGGGTCTGTGAGACGCTACACGGTCCGCTGCAGCGGCAGAGCCACAGGAGAGCTTCCGACAGGCTGCTAGGAACAAATGCAATGCTCCGGGGCGGGGGAAGGGGGAACAAAACAAACAAACAGTGCTGTGCGTGTCCTGCCACTTTGGTGGAATGAAAATCAGAAGATTGAAGCTTCGTAAGTGGCTTGTAGATAGCAGAGATCTTTAAAAATAGACTCTGGAAGACGTAGAAAACGTAGGTATAAAGATGAATTAAAACTGACAGATGGCAAAAGGAAAAGTTCTTCAAAGTCAACAAGAAAAACTCGGGAACAGGGATGAAAAAAAGTAAAACAAAGAAACCAGAGAGAAAAAGGCCGACCTAAGCAAAAAGAAGGGGAAAAGAATAAAATCAAGGATCCAGATCAGAAAGCACACAGACCCAAACGTGTATGAAACATAACAACTACTATACAAATATCAGATTTTCAAACTCCAGTCTGCCTTATGTACAGCATTTCAGTATTAAAGGAGTATTTCTAAAGCGATAACTGATACACTATTTAAGGTGACAGATCATTTAAGAGTCTACAATAATCATGAATGAATATTTAATATAATAGTATAATAGGCAACTTTTGGAATGTTATTGTTGACTTCCTTACTATCATTACAAATGGTCTCTGCATGCACTCTTTGCTTCTTACATTGTCACAAAGCTGTTACACTACCCAACTTACAAAAGAATTCACTTTCCTATACAAGGCAAATGAGCACACATTTCTGGCACTGCCCATTTCCCATTATTGCTTTTCATATTTCTTTCTCTTCCCTTTCACGTTAGTGGAAATATTCCCATAATTTAAAAGAATAAATTTATATACGTACATTACTGCCTGCAAGGTATAATGCATATTGATATATTTCAACAACAACAACAACAAAAAGATTAATTTGCAAATTCAAGTGAAAATTAAAGATTAGATGAGGTATCTTCACAGTTCATTTTTAAGAGATTTCTGAATACAGTTATTTTAGGAAATTTTAATTTCTAGGTGCAATGCAAAAAAGTGATTTTACAACAACTGCTGCAACTCTTGAGGTAATCCTTTTAATTAAGATCCATAAAATAAAGGTTTTTTTTTTACTACTTCTATGATAACAAAACAATTTTGGTTAACAACTAATTTGTGAACCCTATCTGTTTACAACTATACAACTGTGGGGGGATTTTAACTTATGAGTTTTGCAACATCCTACTAGAACATGTACCGGACAAAAAAATTACCCAAGGTATTTCTCAGTAATGCAAACTGAAACCTTTCTGAAAGAAGACAAAGAAAAATACCTCTGAAGCAGCTCAGGAGGCGGATAAACTAATTGCTCCTGGATAGTTCTAGCTTATTCCTTAGCATCTGTGCCAAGCTGAAGCACTGCATCTTCTAGACAAAATTATTACATAGCACAGTGAAGGAAACAAGCATGCAGAAACCCCTTATAAAGGAATAATGTTTACAGATAGCATTTAGCTTCAATTGGTGCTGAAAATAGAGGAAACATTTCAAAATGTCACCCCTTGCTAACAAAAACATAGTACCATAAAGGTTTCTGAGAGAAAGAGCGCAAAAGGAGGTTGGTGCTGCTATTTTTGTTGTGCTGTCAGAGCACAGCCAAAAGAGATTTCTAGTTCAGTGAACGAGCAGCAGAGCAATCTCCAGCTGGGAACATGTGCTCAATGATATTTAAGCAGGTCCATCGCAGCTAACTATGTAGTTCACCAAATTATGGCAACATGCTCTCACCTTGCCCATCTCTTGGAGCATGCCAAAGCACAGAGTAAACATATATATATAGCTCCATTCTTTTTCTAGGAATCCAAACAAACCTTTCAAGGATACTCAATTCCTGAGAAGTTCATACTAACATTATTTTACACTCAATACAACCCTTTCAGTTTAGAAGTTTTCACAGGCACTCAGTCACAGCATATATAGAAACTGGCAACACAGCTATGACTACTCCTCCTTAAAAACCTCATAAACCTTCCCTTCAAAGAGATTTATGAATAATGTGAACTAAATAATTCATGGCACTGCAGATG